GTACACAGATTCAGATCGCGCGGGGGTATAATTTCAATGTCAGTTATCATGGCTGCGGTGAGATCCGCGCATCTGCCAGGGACCTCCTAACTCTGAAAACAACGGGCACACGACACGCAACGCCAAAACGCCCCGTTCCAAAACACTCGGCGAGACTTGCTGCTGGAGACATGCCTCGGCCTGGGCGGTCTTGTCCCCCTGTCTACTTGACAGGAAATCAAGCTGGCTGGCGGCATTTCTTTTAAAGAATCGCAGCTGGGGCCGCAAGCTCACTCCACTCACTCATAGAAAGATCATACCTGTGGATGTTGGCCAACACATCTGGGTGAGAGAGCACGCCATCCTCGGCACACTCGTTTGCCTCGGTGATCCCGCGCTGATGCCTGGGACACATGTCAAAAAAGTTGTTATCCGTCATCTGCACAAGCATTTTCTTCAAGCACCACTCTTTATAGTTCTGAAATACAAACCTCCAGGCCTCCGAAGCGTGCTCGAGCCCGAGAAAGAGGCAAAAGTGTTCCCAGTTCAACAGAGAAGGCTCTTGCAACGCGCATGGATACAATAAGCTTCGGAAAGGTCGGGCCCATCGCACTCAATGCGGTTCAACGCCTGACGCAAAGCGCACACTTCTCCAAAGACGACACTGTGTGGGAGGAAACGGGGAACACTGCAGAAGATCGTCCCCAGGAAAGTTCCCTAATCGGTCACCGTGGCCACAGCCCACGCGGCACGAGATATTGAAACCCATACATAATCCATCTAACTGAATATGTGCTTTATTGTTTCGCTTGAAGGCCTCCGCCAAAACCCCCGTCTGAGGCCACATTGTTGCCGTCTCCACCCCGAAAATCCGCGAATACATTGTCAGGGAGCGCCTGCCACAAGAAGCTGCACAGCGGGTCCTCCACGCCTGCTTCCAAGCCGGCAGCGGACAGTTCTTCGGACAGAAACTGTGACCTTTTACCTGTGAGACCTGGGCGCTGAAAATCCCGACACAAAACCGAATCGTCAATGCCATTACCGTCTCCAAAACTGCAAAGCTGAGCGATGAAACCTGATAGCCACATCTGTTGTGGAAATGGTTGGCTGTGACGCGAGTAACCATGCCCTTGAGAGTCTTAGTACGCTTGTCCAAAATCGACCTCCAAAAGCCAGGCGGAAGCTCGACCCAAAGGTTCCTTTATCCAGGATGCCTCAGGACCTCTGGTGCTCGCAGTCTCCTAAATATCTGTTCATCCTAATGGCGACGAGCTCCTTACCTGGGTCACCGACGAAGCACTTAAGAACTGCACAATAGGGCGTGGCCCTGCGGACGAAGGAACCACTGCTGCGCGTGGGGCGGGAAACAGGCCGGAGGAGGAGGAGGAGGAGGAGGAGGAGGAGGAGGGGGAGGGGGAGGGGGAGGAGGAGGAGGAGGAGGAGGAGGAGGAGGAGGAGGAGGAGGAGGAGGAACCCATCTAGCTGTTGTTATCCACTGCAACATGTCCACATCAAGGCCCCAAGAACGAAAGTCCCAAGAGCCATTTGGGTGCGCATCCGATTGAGCCTGAACGACGGGAGCAATGTTGGCGAGCTCCCCTGCTGTGAAACAGCCTCCAGGTCTGCGGTATGCCGACGTCGTCAGCCAAAAATCCTTGGCGTACCTGGTGATGGTAAGGTGAAAATGAGAAAGGCGACTCCAGGTCGGATCCACAGCTACTCATACCAAGAAAACCTCCCGTGTGCGATATAAGCCGTCGAATATCATCCGGAGTCCACTCCTCCATCTCCACCACAAAGGTCAAGGTAGGCTTGATTCCACAAAACCAGATGTTGCACGAGATCTGATAGGGTTCCTGGGTGATGCTATTTTGATGAACTTTCTCCTCAACTTGGTCCACCTCGTCCTCCTCTTCAATGTACCCGTCCTGACCTTGCGATGCTTCCCAGGGGAGAAACCGGCGCCCAGGTTCACAATCGAGGGGTCTCCCCTGCATAATTGCCAAGATCGGCAAGTGCGCGTCGGACCAGGTCCATGCTGGTTTCAGTGATGCAGAACTTCTTCAAAGAGAAATGTTGAAAACTTGCGACAATATGTCGATATGGATGCATAGCGAAACTGCCATATTGGTGGCACAGCCCTCGATCGAGTTGCCATATTCATCCAAACCAAACTTGTACACGTGCACGGCCAGCGAAGAGGAGAAGCCGATTTCCAAATATGCATTTACATTGGAAATGGAAAAACACTTGATATCAACTGTTGTCGTGTTGCTCCCCGCCTCATTTTTTATTCAGGGTCTATCGGGTCAGACACCATCCCATCCACGATCAATATCCTCTACCACCCCGAAGTGTGCCAAGCGAAGCGAAGGGAGCGGAGCGGAAAGCACCAGTCTGAGGCTGTACGCACTAATTGGGGCTGTTGCACGTGTTCGTCGCACTGTTTCAAATCGCCGAGCAGAGACAACGCATGCTTCTTAGATCCTGCTGCAATGTTGACTCGAATGCTCTGCCTCCAGACCGTGTCAGCTGGACTGCGACACGGCACCATCGAAAAGACATCCCTGTCCTGGACACTCTTCTCCCCTGTCTTAAAGTCTCCAGAATTTCATCTGGATATCGTACGAATCTGAAATTGAGAAAAGAGAAAAAAAAAAAAAAAAAAAAAAAAAAAAAAAAAAAAAAAAAAAAAAAAAAAAAAAAAAAAAAAAAAAAAAAAAAAAACGATGAGACGGCGGCGACATATTGCTTCCGAAAGAAACCAAAGATACGGGTTCTCATCCATGAGGGAGACGCTCCCAGGACAGTGATTACACACAAAACTTGGTGAACAACCTCAAGTGCAGGCCAGCAGAGATGCTGATAGCGCCGACGATAGAAGCCGTCTGCTGCAATGTCGCCTAAAATGATCATATCATTTATGGTGGGCGGGACGGGGCAAATCATATCCTCAGGCCAGTCAGGGAGTCTGGTTCGGAGACTGACGTTCATCCCCCCATGCTTGTGACGACGACATCACTTCCCCCACATCTGAGCAGTAAGGCCAGAAGAGTGGTAGCCATTATCAATAGCAAAGGTGTACGATATTTATCCTCTGCCGCCTTGGTGTATGCGTGAGCACGCTTTGCCCCCGCTACCGTTCTCATTCCCCTGTCCCTCCCTCTCCCGCCTGCCCCCCTGCTCGCTCCGCCTTCCTCATCATTGTTTTCGTTCCTCCTCCTCCTCCTCCTCCACCTCCTCTATCTCTCCCTCCTCCTCCTCCTCCTCCTCCTCCTCCTCCTCCTCCTCCTCCTCCTCCTCCATCCTGCACTTTCTATTTCACCATCCTGATCCTCGCACTCCTCCACTGCCACTGCCTCCTCCCCATTCCTCTCCGTCTCCCCCTCCGCTTCCGACTGTCCCTCCTCATCCGTCCTTCTCCGCCTCCACCTCCCCCTCCTCCATCATCCATCCTCCTTCCTAATCCCCCTCCTAACCCGTCCTCCCCCCTCCTCCCTCCCACATCATTCCCGTTTGCGTTCCCCATCACCCGTCTCTTCCTCTTCGTTATTTATTGTACCCTCCTGGGGCCTTTTCTCCACATCCCCCTCCGCCTTCACCTCCACCTTCGCCTCCACCGGCGGCTGCTGCTGCTGATCAACCTTCTCCATCCTCCATCCGGCTCACCCACGCCTCTCCCGCCCATCCTTTCGTCACTCGTGGTCATCCGCGTTTTATGTCGCTTTCAGTCCTCTGCTCCTCAGCCTTGCTGTATTATGTTTTCATCGTCCCGTGTTCCCTCCCTCACGGACACCTTTTACTCAAGATCCTCTGATCCGCATCTCCTTCCGCCTCCGCCAGAGGCTGCTTCCCCTCCTTTTCTGCTTCTTAGTATTCTTCATCATCAGCATCATCAGCATCATCATCAGCAGCATCATCAACAGCAGCAGCATCAGCGCCAGCATCATCCTCATCATCATCGTCATCACCACCAGCATCATCATCGTAATCAGCAGCATCCGTGTCGTCATCATCATCATCATCATCATCATCATCATCATCATCATCATCATCATCATCATCATCATCATCATCATCATCATCATCATCATCATCATCATCATCATCATCATCATCATCATCATCATCATCATCATCATCATCATCATCATCATCATCATCATCATCATCATCATCGTCATCATCATCATCATCATCATCATCATCATCAGCATCATCATCATCATCATCATCATCATCATCATCATCATCATCATCATCATCAGCAGCAGCAGCAGCATCATCATCATCATCAGCAGCAGCAGCTGCATCATCATCATTAACACCACCATCGACCTCATCCTCATCATCCTCAGCAGCACCGTCAACATCATAATCATCAGCATCGTCAACGTCATCGTCATCGTCGTCGACAGTGTCGTCATCTCCACCACCATGATCATCACCATCATAACATCATCATAATGGTCATCACACATCATCGTCATCAACAGTAACACCATCAATAGCATAACCATCACCACCATAAACCTCATAACCAGCAGCGTAGCATAATCATCATCCTCATGATCCTAATCATCGTCATGACGGCCATCAGCATCATCATCATCATCAATCGTAACACCATCAACTGCACAACCACCACAACCATCAACAGCATCATTATCAGAAGCATCAGCATCATCACCAGCAGCAGCATTTCATCACCATCAGCAGCATCATCATCAGCATCATCGTCATCGTCATCGTCATCATCAGCAGCATCATCATCAGCATCATCGTCGTCGTCATCATCATCATCATCATCATCATCATCATCATCATCATCATCATCATCATCATCATCATCATCATCATCATCATCATCCTCATCCTCATCATTGCAATCATCATAAACCCTCGACATTGCACTGTGTCCCCCTCGTCGTGGGCTCCTCGCCCTTCCTCCTCACTATACTCCTTCTGTCTCCATTACAAAAGAGAGGCCGAGCAGGGAGGCGGCGAGTGGGCGCGGGTGCCGTCAAGCCCCGCTTCACGCGGCCGAATATGGGATTTTTGCCGTCCTGTCTTGGGGCGGAGAAAACATACTGGTACGATGTGCTGATGCTGGAGGCGTACGTCCGACAGTGGCAAAGAGCGCACAACGTGTACGTACAGTAGAGAATGTCCCGAACCATATGGCCAGAAAGCGCCCGCCACACATCTGATACTGTGAGCCTTCTCGGCGTGCGCGTCGTCCCTGGGCCGACGAGCAGAAAGCATCGCCATGTCTGCGTGGTGCCAATGGCTGGCTCGTCGGAGCGCAGTGCGCGCACTGGCCCCAAGAGAAGAGAGACGATGCGGACGCTGAGAGCCAGGGCAGCCAGGACCAGCATGCCTGCCGCACAGTATCGCTTCGAGCTCTCGACCTCTCTCTCTCACATCCGCCCAGGGTCGTTGGCGCTGAAAAAAGAAGGCTCCTTAGGGGTCGTTTCGGGCTCCCTGGGCCGAGCACTGCAGGCGCTCTCGACAAAAACGGGCATCGCAGTCCTATCGATTGCCCAGGACTCGTTGGCGGTTGCCGGTTTTCTCGCGTGCCCAAGACGACCCAAGAGGATTCCACGAAAGCCCCGGGACGGTAAACGACTGCCCAAAGGTAATCGAAGAGGCCGAGTTCAGTGACAAACTCACCGCTTCTGCAAAATGTTCGCATTCTCTGTGTTCCGATCTTCCAAGCGTGCAAGACGGCCCAAGAGGCCCACTAGAACCGACCAAGAGGGGCCCCCTGATGCCCCCGAAGCCCCCCCAGAGGAGCACGGCCCCCAAGAGTCCAAGAGGGGGACCTCGCACTGCCACTCAGAATCCACGTCCTCGAGAGGGCCCGGCAGGCCCCAAGGGGGCTCCCAAGAGGCCCCCAGAGGCCCCCGAGAGACCCGCGGGAGGCCCCCAAGAGGCCTGCCAGGGGCCGCAGAGGCTTCCGCGAGGCCCCCCCACTGGCCCCCGAGAGGCGTCCGAGAGAGGCCGCCGGTCCCCACCCGCTTCGGGGCACGCGGCCCCGAAGGCACGGGGCCGGCACGCCCCCACGCGGGGGCCCCACGCTGGCCACGACGAGCACCCGCTGCACAGCCAGAGAAAGAGGGAAGGGGGGGGAGGAGGAGGAGGAGGAGGAGGAGGAGGAGGAGAAGGGGGGGGGAGGAGGAGGAGGAGGAGGAGGAGGAGGAGGAGGAGGAGGAGGAGGAGGCGGAGGAGGAGGAGGAGGAGGAGGAGGAGGAGGAGGAGGAGGAGGAGGGAGGAGGGAGGAGGAGGAGGAGGAGGAGGAGGAGGAGGAGGAGGAGGGGGGAGGAGGGGGAGGAGGAGGGAGGAGGAGGAGGAGGAGTAGGAGGAGGAGGAGGAGGAGGAGGAGGAGGAGGAGGAGGGAGGAGGAGGAGGAGGAGGAGGAGGAGGAGGAGGAGGAGGAGGAGGAGGAGGAGGAGGAGGAGGAGGAGGAGGGGGGGGGGAGGGGGGGGAAGAGGAGGGAGGAGGGGGGGAAGGAGGAGGTCGATCGTCAGGATCAGACGCGCAGAGGTCTTGCTGCTGGAGGCGTCGGTATGCACGGAACCCCAGGAACATGTGGAGGCGGGGATCCACTTCTTCTGTGCTTGCCAGACAAGAGGGGAGGAGGAAGAGGACGACGGCGAGCAAACGGCTCCTCGGGAGTCCCAATCTCGGCCGCGCTTCGCGCAGTCTCCGAGTCGCCGGAGCACGGAAAAGAGCAACGACAGAGGCAGTGACATGAATGCAAGGGCGAAAGCAAATCTCCCTCTCTCTCTATATATATGGCTCTTTCTCTTCAATGAGCGAGAAAGAGGAGTCGGCAACGATGATCACCGCATAAATCCGTTCCATCACTAACCTGTAAAGACACATTACCAGGGGCGGACCAAGTGCGCGGCAGGCTTACAGAGCAACCTCCTGCGCTGCACACCTCAGCGCATGAACCAAATACGCGAGGAGCCAAAGCGCTGACAGCCACCCCGATATGCACGGAAAGGGTAACATCAGAATACTAAGTATGAAGGTAACCATACAATATTATGGGCAAATTGTGTAACGAAGGCGTCACGTCGCAAGGAGAGGCAATTTTGAACACAAATGCGTTCTGACGCATGCATACACGCAGGGCTCACATACGCCTGTGCAACACAACGCAAGACGTGTGCTGTCAAGCTTTGCACATCAAGCACATTCAACTATTCATACCTATGCTGCTGAAGCCATGGAAGTCTGTGATTCACGGTACCCCAACTCTTCCTCCATCCCTCTATACGTCTGTCTAGAGGCAAACTGAAAAGCGGTCCAGAGACGGCAAAGGCGCCAGCGTTATGAAAAACTGGCTGCCGTTCGTGTGGGGCCTCAGCAGGGCATCGACAAAGCCCGCACGTACGCTGCGCAGGATTCGCCCTGACCTCGGCGGCATATGAAACTACAGTTAGGTCGGGCATGTCCACTTACAGGCGGATTTGGGAAGAGAACTAAAGAATCAGCCGAAACATCCAAATATTGTGACCAGAGCACGAAGAATCGTCACCTTACTATGTTCTACTATCCTTGAATATTCCTCCTTTAGAGGGACATGCCCGACTTACAACTACAGAGAGCGGAGTCTGAGTAGCCCGTGAGAGCGCGCTAAATTCACACATCTGGCGTACCTGCCCACCCGGGTGTGCCGTCGGGGACAGGATCCTCTTCCCACTGGCGTCGCCTGGCTGCGCCGTTGGCGACTCGGCTCGATAAGGTGTAGAGTGGTTGGGGCAGTTTGAGGGGCTGCTTGAGCTGACCGGTGCCGCCCATGTACACAACACCCATGCGAGAAATCCGAAACAATCCAAGGAGTCCGCCAGCCCCCGAATGCCCAGAGTGGGATTGCGTGAAACGCTTGGCCGCCCTCCCCCTGTTGTCCCCCCCCCCAGCGTCCGAAGTCCAATCTGCAAGGGAGGGCCCCCAAGGGGGACGACCCAAGAGAGTATCAAGGCAGCCCAATGAGCCCCGAGAGAGTCCCCACGGGTCTCCTCAAAGGTCCCGGCTTTGACGTCAGTGGCAAGAGCGGACGCTCACGCGTTCGCACCGCCGACGGGCCGCGCCAGGTTATAGACACACTGGGACCCTTGGGAAAGAAGAAGCGGGCGGCCGCGGAGGGGGAAAAGAGGGGGGGACTCGGGCGAAGCGCGCGGGCAGCCTCGGGCACCAGGAGCCGGCGTACTCGCAGGCTGCGCAGGCCAGTGCCAGAGGCCCCAGCAGACAGCGACGGCACATCCAGAGAGAAGACGGCGGGCAGCGGACGTGGACACACTTGGCCAGCGAAGCCGCGCGCCAGCTCCACGAGGACGGGAGGGAGCAGGAGCAGGAGCGGCGGCGCCAGCGCCAGCGCCAGCGGCACCTCGCCCGTCCCCAGCTGGCCGGGTGGCAGCTGCTGCTGCTGGCCATCGGCCAGCTCTCCGCTGCGCGCGATGCATCCGGCAACCGCGTTCCCGACTGTCCGCTCGCCCCTCCTCTGCCGTCACGGCCGCTGCCCTTCTTCGGGTGCTGCTGGAAGTGCCCCTGGGCCAAGGTGCCCCGAGGGTTCTCGGGGTAGGCCGAACGGTCTCCGAAGCACCCCTCACGAGGCCCAGGAGGGCCCTAGGGGCTCCAAAACGGAGCGGAAAGCTGGGGGCACCTTGGGCCAGGGGTACTTCTGGCAACACCCGACTTCTGTCTACACTGTCTACACCACGCTGCTTCAAAACCACTCTCGGACACGACGAGCAATTCTCGTAACCCAGCCAACGCTGAACATCCAGACATTCGGCGCACCGATGCATTCGATGCGCGGGCCCCACGACCTCTCGACCACTTCCCAAGGGCCAGCGTCTCATACCGACTCGTTTTCTCGTGGCCCTGAGGCCCGACACCGTCCTCCAGAGGTTAAAAAGCGGCGACAATATGGACACTCCAATGTCTTCGCGGCGGTGGATGTCTGAACAAGCAGCCGCGGCAGGAGCAAGAGCAGGAGCAAAATCACAAGCAGAACTGGGAGCAAGCAGGTCGTCGGATCGGCAAGCGAGGCCCGGCGTTGGCCATGGAGAGGATGCCGGCCCCTGTGTGCTTCAGCTGCGGGTGGATCTCGTCCTTCGCGCTGCTCGGCTCACCTCATCCTGCTCTCCCCCCACCTCCCCCGCCCCGCCACCTCCACTTTGTCCAGGAACCCCAGAAAGCTCAAAGTGCCTCCCAAACATCCCCCGGACCCCCCAACACACACAGCTCTTTTGTTCAAGAGTCGCATGGCTTAAGCCCTTGGTTCAAGGCCGGCCAGGCCGCATGGCGCCGTCCAGGGGCAGCGGCCTAGCCTCTGCTGCGGCTGCGGCCGCGGCGGAGTCGCTGCCGCGGCTGGGGCAGCGGGAGCCGCCCCAGGAGCCCGCAACCAAGAGGCAACTGGAGCCTAGCCTGGCGCAGGTCGGCCTGAGATTGATCGGCGTTGACGATCGACGGCGCAGCTCAGGGGGGTTGGCTGCGGGGAGCGCTGAGCTGGCGCACGACCCCCAGGCTGTTACGCAGGAGAGCCCCCTCGCCACGGAGGACGCGAGATGTGGCACCTCTGCAACCTGAGGAGGAGACAGAGAGAGAGGGAGAGAGAGCACACGTTGCGACCTCAGGGGAGCTGGAGAAAGACAGCCATCATATGCTGCGCCAGTCTCCGGCCCGCGGAGGAGCGCCTCACTTGGGCGAGAGGTGCCACGCGCCAGAGCATCCTGGGCGATGCTCGGAGCGGCGCCCCAGTGAGCTGCGCTGGCACGTTGGCGAAACTTGCCTAAACAACGTGAGTACGGCAGGACAGTGCCGTAACGACGCTCTTGAATTTCTGACACCGCGTGGATCGCTCAAATCGTGCACGGTCGCGCCATTCCGACAATCAGGATCCTTCGAGGTCCGTCGATTCCGGGCCACCGGCAGCCCACCCCCTCCATCCATTTCCCCTCTTTGCCTCCGTCCCTCCCTCCCCCCCTTCCGCTTCCCCCCATACATTCGCCCCCTCTTTTCCTACTCCCCCGACCCCACTCCCCCACCATTACCGAAAAAACGGGCAGGTCCTAATGGGACAGATCAGATCCCAACAACCTGCGTCCGATGCCAGCGGGAAAGAAAGCCAGAACGGTTCCGATCCAAGCGCGTTGCAGGCGCCTTCTCGGCTTCGTGTTTGATTACTGACGAATTCTATTCGGCGTCCCGTAGCATTCCTCTGAAATTCATCAAGGATGCTCTAGGATTCCAGAAGGATGTCTGAAACAAAAACCTGCAAACAAAACCTGCTGAAATTCTGAAGCACTCCTGAAGGATACCTTACAAATCCTGAAGGATTTCTGCGGGTTCAAAAAATCATGCGGCCCCTGGGGATCTGGAAAGTTCCTCCAGGATCATGCAGGATTCCTGCAGGATTCCTCCAAGAGTCCGCAGGGTTCCTGAAGATCCCTGCAGGGTTCCTGGCGAATGCTGGAAGATTCCCGAAGAATGCCTGCCCTCCAGATTCGCGAGGATTCTTGCAGGATTCCTGACGATTCCCTAGGAACTCCGGATCTCGCTGTATATATTAATCGCGCGGATTCCTGAAGATGGCTCAACGATTCCCATGGATTCGTGGCGATTTCTCAAAATCCCCAAACGATTCCTCCAGGATTCCTTCCGATGTCCAGGAATCTTCTTGGATTCCGATGGGTTCTTGATGGTTCCTGAAGATGCCCCCTGGATTCCTGAGGATTGCCGAAAATCCCCATATATGCCACAAAATTCATGAGGATTTCTCGTACATGCCAAAAGCAAAATTATTCGGGAGCCCTGGCGATTGCTGAAAATCCTTGAGATTCTCTAGGGCATCCGATCAGATGCCCAAAAACTCACCGAGATTCGTAATAATTCCTGGAAGATTCTTCTGGAATGCGAAAAAAACTCCCCGGAATTCCTAAGGATCCTGAAAGAATCCCAAGAAGCAACCCTGCGAATTCCTGGACATTCCTAAAGGCCCGTGAAGAATCCTGAAAAAGTCATGAAAGATTCCCGGAAGCATCCTGCCTCGTTTACGGGAGGCGGACCAAGCGGCCCTGCACGCAAAGCCCCAGCCACTCCCAGAAACTTGATGCTCCAAGGTGGTCGAGGGCGGGTTGCGCAAATCGGCGGAGCGCCTGACCCCGCACGGCCCGGCCACAAGCGCGGGGCATAGAAACAGGACACACTCTCGCAATGGCGGTGCGACGACGGCAAAAGAATGGTCGGGGGTGACGCCGACGCCTCCTTGACGCGCGGCGGATCCTGGGGCCCTGCACGCAGGGCCCCAGCCACTCCCAGGAACTCGACGCCCCCCTCCGCGACGGGAGCGGGTCACAACCATGGAGGGGCGGCGGAGACCCGGAGTCGCGGGGGCGGATCCAGGGGCGCCCCGCCGGCCGCCGCGAGCATCGGAGCCCGCCCCGCCCCCCCCAGGCACCGCTGCCACAGCCGCGCCGCGCTGAGCCCGTCGGCGACTGGGCGGAGGCGCGGTCTCGAAGCCCTGCCGGCGGGGGCTTAAAACTACCCCGTAGACGCGCCATCTGGGCCCCCACCCCGCAGGATCGCACGCGCCTCCGCAGTCGCATGCAGCCCGGCCCGCGCGACGTCACCCGAGACGCGCTGAGCCAGACTGCCACCGCAGCTCGAATCCTGCGGCCGCGCCGCGGGCGCCCCGCCCGACGCGCCCGCCCCCCCATCGACGATCGACGCGAAGAATTCCGCGGGGGCACGCGCCACCTCAGGTCCGCGGCCGCCGCGTGGATACTGAGGGGCCCGTCGAACTCGGTCGTCCCCACGTTGCCGTGGCCGTCTGCCTCCTGGTTCTAATCGCGCGGTAGCCAATCCAGGGCCAGCGCCGTCTTGCGCGACCTCAGCCCCTCCGAGAGCACACCGAAGAGAACCGCAAACAGCCACTTGGTCGACATGGCCCTGGTCACCGCGTCGGCGACCCCGTTGTCCGCCGACCCCGCCATCTAGAGGTTCGCCATCTGGCAGAGCCCCTTGGGCCTCGAAAACAACTTCACGCAGAGGCTCGCGCCTGGGAGCTCCAGCGCCGAGCTGACCCTGTCCGGGCCGTTCGCCGTGGCCCACGCCAAGGGGGCAGTTCTGACTCTACCCCCGGCGCGTACCAAAGAGCCCCTCGCGCGCGGCTTTTCGGCGACACTTCCAAGCCGCCCGTCGATGGCACCCCCCTCCGACTTCGAGCCCGAGCGGAAGCGCCCTGCGCCCCCGGCTTCGAACTTGATGAGCGCCTCCAGCCGTCGCCCACACACATGCCAAACGCCTGACCGCCCGCGCCAGCGCGAGCCCAGGGTGACACTCTCTTTGCCTGCCCTTGCGACGCTGGCGGGCCAGACGCACGCGGACCTCGGGTGCAGCACCAGGCGGCCCGTCACGCCACCCGCGCCTCAGGGAGGCCCGCGGCGCAGGCCTCGCAGTCGCAGTGGAAGCCGACCCAGTCAACTGCGAGGCCGACCTGCGCCATGGCCCTCTGCACAGGGAAACAGAAGACGAAGCACAGGACGACCATGAAGAGCGCTGCCAAAATCCCGCGCCACCAAGCTCCGATCGCCCCCAGGTCGTCGGCATAGGCGAGATGTTCCACGAGCCAATCGCCTCCCAACAGGCAGAAGATCGTCCGCAGTCCGGCCCCAGGCAGCTTGGCCCGCCATTCTGAGGCGCTGGAAATACCGAAGGTGCCGATGGTGTCGCAGTAGATCTCGCCATCGAACTCGCAGGCCAGCATGCCCCAGTCGCCCACGCGGATCATGACGGGCCGATGCGCACCCTTGACGTCGGTGGCGAGCGAAAAGGAGGCCTCGCGCTGGTCCTCGTAGTAACTCAAAAGGGGAATCCTCTCTGCGGGCCTCGACATCCTGTCGTTTCCCACATCGAGCCCGACGGTTCACGGCGACCTCGCAAGCGCCCTCGCGCACGAATCGCTGCTTGTCGCTCGCGCTCTCCAGGACCGCCCGCGCCGCCATGGCGCAGTTGTCCTTGAAGCGGTTGCGCGGCTGCTCCTCGGGCACCCTGGCCACCCTGCCCGCCTTCACCTCGTCCGCCAGGTGGTCTCGAAGCCATTCGCTGCAGTCTTCCACGCTGCTGTAGTGGGCCGCGTCTGAGGCGGGCCACTCGGCTGCGCCCTGGTCGATGCGCCACTTCAACTCCGCGGCGAGCTCTTCCTGCTAGAACATATCGCACAATATGCCCGCTTTGACCCCCGAATCAAGCCCCTTTTATCAAATCTGCGCCGGGGGGCCCTGCCCCGCGTAGGAGTGCCGCAAGCAGGCGAAGGCACACGGGCCGCCCCTCTGCGGTGCAGCCCAAATCGCCGCCGCGGCCTGTCAGCGCATTTTCTCCAAGCACGCCTTCGAGAACCCTGCTGGCCGCCTCGTAGACCTCCTTCGGCGCCACTCATGACTTCCGTGATACTTGACAAACGCCCCAAACATAATCTCTTCAAGGCTATAAGGCTATGGGGCCATAGGGCTATGGGGCCATAGGGCTATGAGGCTGTAGGGCTACAAGGCTATGTGGCTAGAGTGCTATAGGGCTATTGGGCTATGGGGCTCTATAGGGCAGTAGGGCCATAGGGCTACAGCGCGAAAGGGCAACAGAACTATAAGGCTATAGGGATATAGAGCTATAGGACTATAAGGCTATAGGGCTATACTATAGGGCTATCCACTCTGCTGAACTTGGAGTCGCCATCCCCACTGCTCGCGCAAACATCCCACCCACCCACCCGCAACGTGGTTTGCAAAACCTCTTAAGACCGACTACGACGACACCGACGACAACGACTACGACGACACCGACGACGTCTCCGACGACTTCGACGACGACAACGACGCCGACGCCGACGACGACGAAGACGACGACGACGACGCCAACGAAGGCGACGACGAGGGAGGAGGAAGGACGACGACGGCGACAACGACGACGACGACAACGACGAGAGAGGAGGGAGGACGGCGACGACGCGAACGACGAAGAAGGAGGAGGGACGGCGACGCCGACGACGACAACGACGAGGGAGGATGGAAGACGACGACGACGACGACGACGACGACGACGGCGACGCAATAGGAGG